CTGTGTCTCTCTCTGTCAAATAAATAAATAAAATCTTTAAAAAATAAATAAAATAAAATACCATCCTTTTTTACATTCTTGTGCCCACCCTGCAGTTTGTATCCACACTCATTGTCTCAATTTCCTTACTACTCACTGTCATGGATAGACAGGAAGACTGGGAGTGGGTAGTACTTATCATGAGCAAAAAATCATTTCAACCATTTTGTGCCAGCCCCCTAGAAGTGCCTATAATCTGTCCCCACAAAAGGGACAGACTTTAGTGTAGAGAACAGGACTATAGCAAAAGTATAAGGAGGCTTCCTCTTTTCCCATAGGCAAAAGTTACGACAACAACGTCTCTGAAGTAGAGGAAAGCTAATAGATGGAAAGCAGTGGATCTCAAAGAATTCCTATAATTAAGGAAGAGAAGGACAGTGAGTTATAGAGGTTGGGGGGTTTTAGAATTCCCTTTTAGAATGTTAGATTCAAACAAATTTGCAAAAGCCCTCCCCTCCACCCAAAGGCTACTCATTGACTCTAGGTTAAGAATCTAGTCCTTTTAGTTATTTTGTGGACTTTACTTACTCTCCTCTTTGTCTTTGGATATGGCAAAACCTCCAGGATCCCATAGCTTCTCCTTTTCTTGCCTCTTATTTTCTTCACTTTTCTCCTTCTTTCCTTTCAATAGTTACCCCTCTCTCCCTACCCAAGACCAAAATGGCTCTCTCCTCCCTAAGTAAAAAGAGGTTGCTTTTTTCCAAGCCCTGCCCGTGTGTGTGTGTGTGTGTGTGTGTGTGTGTGTGTGTATGTGTGACATAAAACCACCATGCCCCCTCAACTGGGCATACAGATACACAGAAAGATGGGTGATCTAATAAAAGAGAGTAAATGAATGGGAGAAAGTGGGCAGCATGGGCCAGAAGTAAAGTGACGATATTGAGTTTATTTTAAAGATTATCTTAAAAATGGCTTTGTCAAAATGCCGTATCTTAAAATCTCTGGTTATCTTTTCGTTTTTAGATTTTCTTTTAGATGTTGGGCACTTGGTCGTAGAGATCTTTTAATTTAAAAGTGCTCCTATCCTGAATAGGTTGAATGCCTTTCTTGCTAGCTTATTTGTGTAGTTGTCCTTCCATTTTCAATTTCTGTTGATCAAAGACAGTTATTGTTTTCTCTGTCCTGGGACCTACTAATACACTGTTTCTTGCTCAGTATTGATAGATGGATGGGAGTATGGATGGGTGGATGCATGGATGGATTTTAAAGAAGCCTTTCTATTTTAGCAGATTTTAATTGTAATCGGGATGATAAATCTTCCTTTTAGGTTAATTAAGAGTAACTACCACATCGATTAATTTTTATTCTAGAACCATAGAGTCATCAGCCATGGTAATTGGGATTCTCTTGCTTTCCTAGGTATAAGATTATGGGTTGAAATCGGACTAATATAAAATAAAACAACCTAGGATCTTCCTGTTCCTCAGTGAGAACCAGTATAGCTACTAAAGCTGATGTTGAGAAAACAGCATCTCTTCAAACCTGATCAGTAGGACAGTGGTTTTCCAACTGTCTTCCACCTGTTAATTTGAGGAGCTGCCCTACATCTTCTCACTTAAGGGGAAAAGATAATGAATAGTCTTCTCTCAGTTTTAGGCTTTTGCTCCCATTCATTTCAGCTTGTTGGTTTTTGTTTTTTGTTTTTTAACCAGAATCTGGTATCATTTAGTACAAAATTTAGATATTTAGGTGCCAATTTGAATAAGTCAATAATGGGGCTTTGCAACAGAAAACATTTTTATTTTTTTAATTTGTTTTTAAAGATTTTATTTATTTATTTGAGAGAGCGTGGGAGGAGCAGACTCCATGCTGAGTGTGGAGCCCAACACAGGGCTCAATCTCACAACCCTGAGATCATGACCTGAGTTGGATACTCAACGGACTGAGCCACCCAAGCACCCCCAGAAAATATTTTAAACTATAATATTAAAACACTGTTTACCTTGCTAGGGGCTGGTGGGAAGGATGAATGGGGAGTGACTGCTGAAAGGTTTCCCTTTGAGTAATGACAGTGCTTTGAAACTAGACAGAGGTGTGGATGGTTGTACAACATTGTGAATGTATGAAATGCCACTGAACTGTGCACTTTAAAATGGTTAATTTTATGTTATGCAAATTTACCTTAAGATTGTACTATTTCTTAATTTTTTTTATTCCATGCCATATCTGTGAATTGTCAAAATGTATGCTTTAGTTCAGAGAATAATGTCTTCCTGTAGCTAGTATGGTTGTATAATTATCCCTTCAAATTACAGCACTTATTAGAATGAAAATGAACAGTCACTGGGTAAATGCTCGAATAACAAGAATTAACCAGGGTTATCGCCACAAGACCAGGAGAACGGTCACATTACATAAAGCTAACACCAGATACTTGTATGTAAGAGCTCACCACACTCCTTGCTATCTGTCTACGTCATTAGATCCAATATCATCTTAAATTATTTCTTAAGGCTTGTATATAGAACTTGATTCTTTGAAGAAAGCCACTCTCTAGAATTGACAGAAACTTCCACATGCAGGTAAAAACTAACAGAGTAACAATCTTACTGAGTTAAAAGGTAAAATAGAATGGAATAAAAGCATTCTTATTTTTAATAAAGCGACGAAACTTTAACAGTTCGGTAGGCTGGTCCATGTGTGCGGTGGTGCATACATACACATACACACACAGACATTAGTCCTCTTCTCTTTTCTATGACTGTCTCACTCTCAATTCCTGTAGTCAAACATTGTTAGAGTGATATGGGAAAACCTAGTATATTTAAGTTAATGAAAGATGGAAATATATCTTTTTAAGTTGATTACTAGCTCATTGATTTAGTTTTAGATGTAGGTTTATCGTGTCTTTTTTTTCTTTTAAGCCAGTGTTTTAAAGTATTTTGTGTTTATTGTTACCAATAAAAGTAGTTTCACATACAAAGTTAAGAATGGGTTCTAAGGGCGTCTGGGTGGCTCAGACGGTTAAG